ATTAGGGGATTGCAATCCATGTCATGAAACAAAATGTATGAGCTGTTGCATGGAAAATGAATTTGCTCTGTAAACTTCTACCCAAATCACAATTAAAAAAAAAAAAAATTACGATTACAGCAAAGAAAACCCTATGCAGTTTTAGTTTTAGTAAGTCACACATGGGGTGTCCAAGAGACAACTTGATGGCAATTAATGACAACAATCTTTATTTTCTTCCAATTCTGTATTCTGTGCCTTTATGACTTTTTTTCTACACATTTAAGAATGGATTCCAGACTTTACAAATTTTGAAATAAAAATCACTTACTGTACTTAGCCCCATCCAGTGCTGCCACTGCCTTTTCCAAGCAATTCCTGGTGGGATTTCCAGAACGGCTATAGTCAAAACCCTGAAGAAAAGAAGCTAGAGTTCATCCTTAGAGATTTAAATTTAATATCTGAGTCCCAACATAGACATCTCCACAATTACCCTGGGGTTCATCCTCTCATAATGATCTTCTATTATTTAGTCATGATATGTTTTGCCATTACAGCCATGACTGTTATGGCTGTAATGATGTGGAGAGGCTCAGAAGTCAACCACACTGGATCACAATTCTGTGTCTGCCACTTAAGAGCTGAGTACCAATAGGTAAATCACTTAATCTTTCCAAGAATCAATCCCAGTATCTGTAAATGGGAATGATGACACTATATATTTCGTGAAATTGTTCTGAGGATAAAATAAGAAAATGTATAATAAATTCTCTGATAATATCTGGCAAATGGTAACCACTAGGTAAGTGAGTCTTCATCACTAGAATTGTTATTTTGTTAGACTCACCTTTACCTATTAATCTGGGGACATTAGGAAAAAGAGTATTGCATGAGTTAACAGAGAATATAACCCTAACCTGTATTTCAATTCCTAAGAAATATGTAATAGTGTTCTTTAGCATGCAACAGGGAAGAAATGAACAGATTCTTTATATGCTCAAAGTTCATATTTTAGTTATATAAACATGACCCAAAAAATAGGGAGCAATTCTTGATAAGGCAGCTCCACATACTACTTTTTTTTTCTTTTGAACATTTTATTGTGGTTTAGGCGAAAGTTTACAGAGCAAATTCATTTTCATCCATAAATTTATAAACATTTTGTTCCCAAAGTGTGTTTCTCCCCAATGTTTTTTAGTTGATACAGAGTTTATATACAATGAAATGCACAGATTTAAAATACACAGATTGAAGCCATTTTTGACAAATGTTCATGCTTGTGTAAATACCATTTCAGTCACGATATAAAACATGTCTATCACTTCAGAAAGTTCCTAGTACCTCTTTGCAGTCAACACCCCTTCTCAGAGGCAAATATTACTTTAATTTATATAACCGTAGATTAATTTTTTTTAATGGGGCTCAGCTAATTCTACAGAACATTTTTTAATTTTTTTAATTGTGATTTGGGTGAAAGTTTACAGAGCAAATTCACTTTCTATACAGCAGTTCACACACACTTTGTCTCATGACATTGACTACAATTTACCCCAATGCAACAGCTCCCCTCCCACTACCTCCTGATAGTTACCTCTTCCCTGTGTCCATCCCTCCATGCACTCCTGCACCCTGAGCTGTCTCCCTGTGCATAAACAGCCCTTTTCTCTCCCATGATTGTTCTCTCCAAGGAGTGTATCTACCTCAGGTACACATTCAACTCATATGCCTGTCTTTCTGTTTGGCTGGAAGCCACAGGTGTGAGTTCAATTCTAGACCTGCAGGGCAGCTAGGGACCATAGTCTCAGTGGTTCCACCAGGCTCTGTCAGATCAGCAAACCTGGTCTCCCCCCCAGCTTTTTTTTCCCAAATGACTTTGAGTTTTGTTCCACATTGTTCTCCCTCTCTATCCAGGATCTCCTACATAGAACCCACTCCAAATGGTTGACAGTGGTAGCCAGGAATCATCTAGTTCTTCTGCTCTCATAGTCTGAGGATCAGATGGTCTAACAGTCGCTAGGACTAACTGTTTCCATGAATCTTTGGTTTTCTTCATTCTTCTTTGCTCTGGATGAGGAGAGACCTATTATTGCATCTAGAGGGCTGCTTGCAAGCTTTTAAGATCCCAGTCGCTACTCACCAAAGTAGGAGGTGGAACAATGTTTTGTGTAGTATGTTATGCCAATAGATCTTGATGTCCCCTGCAACTATGGTCCCAAGCCCACAGGTTCAACTACTCACTCTCTCTGGGTACCTGGCTGTGACCAAGAAATGACTACAAACTTGTCCCTTGTCAGCTCTACTATACCCCTGGGAATTCTTACAGAACATACAATTACACTTTTAGAACCACTGTCTGCTAACCCTATACAGGTCTTGGGCACACTCCCTGCTGCATAGATGTACGTAATAGTTCAGCCTGTCCACCCATCTGTCCACCCATATACTTGTGTTTTCCTTCACTGACAACACAGTACTGTATGTGCAAAACGGTTTATTCTGGTTACCTAGTGCTGCTCTGACAAGAATATACCATGAATGGCATGGCCTTAAGAAACAGGAGTTTATTTTTACAATTTGGAGGCTTGAAAGCCAAGTTCAAAGTGCCAGGCTCTAGGAGCTGGGTGAAAGCCCCTCAACCTTGGGGTCCAGCTCTGCCTCCTGCTCCCGGCCAACTGGAGCTAGAGGCATTTCTTCACTCAGACAGCTGCTGAGGCTGATAAGCCCCAAGACTGACAAGTCAAAAGGCACAGTCCCAATGTTACCAAACCACACGGCAGGCTGCTGAGCAATGACACAGCTACATGCAAGGTCCAAGCATGCCGTAGGCTAGAGACCATTCCCAAGGTTTCTCCTTAAATATAGGAAGCAGACCACATCCCAAAGGCAGCTACTCATCTGCTTGTGGTAGATCCCACCATGGAGTAGATTGCCCGTCTCATCATGGGAAATAACTACCACCAGCTGCCCAACCACTCAACCAGGCCCAGCCAAGTTGACACACAAACATAACTACCACAGGGTTCATCTTTGTTGTCTATACCTCCCATGTACCTCTCTATGTCTTCTTCTTCCTCAAAGCCACCATGTGAATCACTCACATTTGGTATATTGTCCTTTTCTTCACCCAAATCACTACTTATCTCTACCTAACAGTGTTCCCTCTCCTCCCCTCACACCTCTGGTAACCAACAAAGAAAATTTCCTTCCATATATAAACTGTTCCTTGACTTTTTCAATAATGGACTAATACAATATTTGTCCTTCTGTGATTGACTTATTCCACTAGCATAATATCCTCTAAGTTTAACCATGTTATGCAGTGTTTTGCAGATTATACATTATTCTTTACAGTTGCATAGTATTCCATCATGTGCATATACCAAAGTTTGGTTATCCATTGCTCAGTTGATGGACACCTAGGTTGTTTCCAACTTTTTGCTATTGTAAATAGTGCTGCAATGAACATGGGTGTGCTTATGTCTGTTTTTGTCCTGGTTCTCACTTCTTAGGATATATACCTAGTAATGGAATGGCTGGATCAAATGGTATTTCTATTTCCAACTTTTTAAGGAATCTCTATACCGCATTCCTACCAGCAGTGTATAAGAGTCCTAATCTCTCCACATCCTTGCCAGCATTTGTTGTTTTCTGTCTTGTTGAACTTTGCTACTAATGCTGGGGCATGATGGTATCTCATTGTTGTTTTGATTTGTATCTTTCTAATGGCTAAGGATCATGAGCATTTCTTCACATGTGTTTGTTTGCTACATGAATATCCTCCTTGGTGAAGTGTCTATTCATGTCTTCTGCACATTTTTTAATTTAATTATTTGTCTTTTTGTTATTGAGGTGTTGGAGTTTTTTGTATAAATTCTAGAGATAAGTCCCTTGTCAGATATGTCATTGCTGAAAATTCTTTCCCAATCTGTAGGTTCTCTTTGACTCTTTTGGAGAAGTCTTTGAAAGCACATAAAAATTTAATTTTTAGAAGGTCCCATTCATCTAGTTTCTCTTCTGCTATTTGTGTATTTTGGGTTATTCTTGACAGCCTATTTATGCCATATATTAGGGCCCCTAAATTTGCCACCAAGAGTAGCAGGCCGGAAGAGCAGGAGAAAGGGGATAAAAGCCAGAAACCCAGACAGAAGAGCAGTCAGCC